GTTATACTATCGTATCCATACGTTGTGGGGACCTGTGTGCCACCACTTTCCAAAGAAGAAATTTACTCGTTAATCCGATCTGAACGCTTTGCATAGCAGTCTGTCAAAAATGATTTTTTAAAAGAAATATTGAGTTTCAAAGAGATCTTCGCACTAAAAGTATTCTAAAATATGAAGAATTCAACTACGGGGGTTCAAAATGACCCCAGGGCGTACGGGTAGGGTTCAGTAAGTGAAATCTTGCTGTTCGCCATAATCTTATGACGAGCCACGTTTTCTGGAAGAGATAACGACACTCATGACTCATGACCCATCATCGTCGGTCGCGGGGGTCTTCGGCCTTGCTGTAATATTCCAACTAGGGCACGACCTTTTCGTTCTCCTGCAAGATCTATCTCTGACCGTCGAGGGCACGAGGTGGGGGGTTTTTTTTTTGGTTGCCACCTACGACTACGACTACGACCACGACCACGACCACGGACGACCCAGCCAGCAATGTTCCGTCGCATGGGAAGCGGAAATTTGCCGCGCCCGATTTAAAAAAAATAATTTTCTGTTGGTATCGATTGTGTTTCAGAATATTCGAAGGGTATCGAGTAATGTAATTTTTGAGTCCTGTTCCGCCCCCTCCACTCCTGTTTTTATGCCATGAATTTTTTTTCTTCTGTTATATCGATGTACGAATAAAAAAAAAAAATCATAGTGGGTGGTTGGCGGGTGCTCTGGTGTGGTTTGCTTCTTCTTTCCTATCAGACATCTATCGTCTTTATCTCCTCTCCTTCTTTTTTGTGTTTGTTGCTCTCACTTAATACCTCTAATCTTTGGCACTTATATGACCTTATTGTGTTGCAAGTGCCGTAAAACACGTACTAAAAAAAAATCAATTTACGAATTTAAAAACAATCATAGGAAACAGTTTTGGCACTTATTCGTTATTCCCCGTCAAGTAAATTATTCGTGTAATCTCTTTATTCAAACAAACTCATTTGGTCCATGTGAACCGAATTATACTATTAATACATTGAGTCAAAGATAGTACATAAGTATTATGTTATGTACTATCTTTGATTGAGTCACATCTGGTAGGCATATTCGATACCACTATCATCGATATCAGCAAGGGGTAGAAGAAGATTCCGGCCCAAATTTCCGTACCCCTGTGGCACAAGACGTGTGACTGTTGTGTGTCCCCGGCAGAGATTGAGAGAGTGACGACGACGAGACAGTGGACGTGGGTCGTCCTGATAGGTTGTTCGCTGCGTCCATCCATCAGTCTGGTGGTAGGTTGTTCGCTGTGTCCATCAGACTTTCCCCCTTCACATGCATGCAAGTTGTGGAAGCCGTACTACTGTCCCACGGATTTCTTCTTCAGCGCGTTGATTACGAGTTACTGGTGATCTCTCTCACTGTGCTTTGGTGTGTGCGGTAAAAACAAATTCTTATTAAAAATTCATCAATTAAAAAAAGTTCTTTCTTTCTTTCTCCCCCCCCCTCTCTGTCTGTCTGTCTGTCTGTCTGTCTGTCTGTCTGTCTGTCTGTCTGTCTGTCTGTCTGTCTGTCTGTCTGTCTGTCTGTCTGTCTGTCTGTCTGTCTGTCTGTCTGTCTCTCTGTCTCTCTGTCTCTCTGTCTCTCTGTCTCTCTGTCTCTCTCTCTCTCTCTCTCTCTCTCTCTCTCTCTCTCCAACGTGTGACTGTTGTTTGTCCCCGGCAGAGAGTGACGACGGAGATAGTGGACGTGGGTCGTCCTGATAGGTCGTTCTGATAGGTCGTTCGCTGTGTCCATCCATCAGTCTGGTGGTAAGTTGTTCGCTGTGTCCATCAGACTTTCCCCCTTCACATGCATGCAAGTTGTGGAAGCCGTACTACTGTCCGAAGGATTTCTTCTTCAGCGCGTTGATTGTGAGTTCGATGGTTTGTCTCTCTCTCACTGCGCTTTGATGTGTGTGGTCTACCAAAAAACAAAAAACAATTTAAAAAAAACAAACAACAAAACTTTTACCATTGTACGAGCGGGTGTATGAAGGGCGTCACTGGTTGGTATTGAGCGCTTTCTTTCTTACACAATGTTTCATCTCTCTCTCTCTCTCTCTCTCTCTCTCTCTCTCTCTCTCTCTCTGTCTTTTTTCTTTTCTTCCTTTCTTCGTTTCTTTCTTTCTTTTTTTCTCTCTCTCTTTTTCTTTCTTTCTTCTTTCCTTTCTTCCTGTCTTCCTTTCTTCCTTTCTTTCTTTCTTTTTCTCTCTCTCTTTCTTTCTTTCTTCCTTCCTTTCTTTCTTCCTTTCTTTCTTCCTTCCTTCCTTCCTTCCTTTCTTTCTTTCTTTCTTTCTTTCTTTTTTCTTTCTTTCTTTCTTTCTTTCTTTCTTTCTTTCTTTCTTTCTTTCTTTCTTTCTTTCTTTCTTTCTTTCTCCCCCCCCCTTTCTCTGTCGCTGTCTCTCTGTCTCTCCCTCTCTCTCTCCCCCTCTCTCTCCATCGTGTGTGACTGTGTCCGGCAGAGAGTGATGACGAGATAGTGGACGTGGGACCCTGTCGCCCTGATAGGTTGTTCGCTGTGTCCATCTGACTTTTCCCCTTCTTTCTTTCTTTCTTTCTTTCTTTCTTTCTTTCTTTCTTTCTTTCTTTCTTTTTCTTTCTTTCTTTTTCTTTCTTTCTTTTTCTTTCTTTCTTTCTTTCTTTCTTTCTTTCTTTCTTTCTTTCTTTCTTTCTTTCTTTCTTTCTTTCTTTCTTTCCTTCTCCCTCCCCCTCCCCCCCCTCTCTCTCTCTCTCTCTCTCTCTCTCCAACGTGTGTGTGTGTGTGTGTGTGTGTGTGTGTGTGTGTGTGTGTGTGTGTGTGTGCGCGCGTGCGTGTGTGTGTGTTTATGTGTGTGTATGTGCGTGTGACTGTGTCTCCGGCAGAGAGTGACGACGAGGTAGTGGACGTTCGTGGAACCAGGTCGCCCTGATAGGTTGTTCGCTGTGTCCATCCATCAGTCTTCTTCCCTTCCCGCGACTGTCTATCGTTGTCTGCTCCAGTGGGTGGTTGGCGGGTGCTCTGGTGTGGTTTGCTCATTCTTTCCTTAAAAAAAAATCTATTGTCATGATCTCTCCTCCTTCTTTTTTGTGTTTGTTACTCTCTTGTAACACCTCTAATCTTCGACACTTATATGACCTTATTATGTTGCAAGTGCCGTGAAACGCTTACTAAAACAATATAATATATATATCTATATCTATCTTTCTCTGTCTTATTTTACTCTCAGACTCCCCCCCCCCTCTCTCTCTCTCTCTCTCTCTCTCTCTCTCTCTCTCTCTCTCTCTCTCTCTCTCTCTCTCTCTCTCTCTCTCTCAAGCTGTGTGTACTACGTTTACGTGCTACTTGATTTCCTCTTCCACTAATGACTGTGATTGCACTACTTGCTGCTGCTGCTGCTGCTGCTACTAATGCTGCTGCTGCTGCTGCTTCTGCTAGCCAAGGACTAATTACCGGTCGTTATTGTGTGGTGGATTACTAACATCGTGACCGTTGAGTCATTAGTCCAAGACGACAATAATAACATTAACAACAGGCGTCTGTGGTGTGGCGGTTAGGCGCTTAACTGTAGCACGCACGAGTGGGTGGTTGGCGGGTGCTCTGGTGTGGTTCGCTTCTTCTTTCCTGTCAAACATCTATCGTCTTTATCTCCCCTTCTTTTTTGTGTGTGTGTTTGTTTCTCTCTTGTAACACCTCTAGTCTTCGGCACCTATATGACCGTATTGCGTTGCCAGTGCGTGTCGTAAAACTCTTACTAAAAAAGAAAAAAGAAAATAAAAATCAAACGATTTCCTTACAAAAAGCTCTGTGACCCAAATCGTGTCCCTGGAATATTTCAACCGGGATCGACCATACTTTTATAGAGATAACAAAAGAGATTTGAAGAGAGAGGGAAACAAGTTGTGAGCTGCACTTGACATCTGATCCTTTTCCCAACGATCTGCAAAGATTGTTTAGTTCTTGAGCGTGGGGGTTTTGTGGTACATCTCTGAGAACGTGCTGAGGTTTTTTTGTTTTTTTTTTGGGGGGGGGGGTTTGTTTGTTAATTATTATTGGTAAGTGTTTTATTACAGCACTCGCAACTGCATAAGGTCATATGAGTATGAGAAAGCGGGACACATTAAAGATTTTCAGTTCGTAGGAAATTTTTGAATTTTGACTGGGTAGCAGCCGAAGCCTTCTCTTATTTATTTTAGACCACCAAGGGATCTTTCACGTTCGCTACTTGTACACCGGACCTCTGAGATTTTCCGCCCTTGTCCGAGAAGGCTAGGTGTAGATCCTACCAGAAGATCAGGGGTGTGGCTGAATGACAGCAGTAAGAAGGAGCCAAGGAGGGGGCAAAGGAGGGGAGGAAGTGGGGGCAGAAAGTGGAGACGAAAGCAGACGACAGAACATTGTTAGAGCGCAGGAAAGGAGGTGAAAGGAGACACTTTTAGAGAAGAAATTTTTTTCCGTCGCTACCCGGATTCGAACTCGGGACCTTTGAATGAGAGGCGAATACCGCCTTAACCTCTAGGCCACGAGAGCCCCGGAGGTGTCTTAAAAGTGTTCCTCCTGTAGATCTACTCGTGGTTGGTTGGCGGCTCCTATAGTACGTGGTTTGCTCCTTTATTTCTTAGCAAACAGTTGTCTTTCTTAACCCTCCTACTCTTCTCTGAACATGACCTATTTGTGTTGAAAGTGTGGGTGGTTGGCGGGTGCTCTGGTGTGGTTTGCTTCTTCTTTCCTGTCAAACATCTATCGTCCTTATTTCCCCCCCCCCCCCCTTCTTCTTTTTTATGTTTGTTACTCTCTTGTAACATCTCCAATCTTCTGGCGCTTACAATATGACCTTATGCAGATGCGAGCGCCGTAAAACCTCTACTAAAACTAAACTGTGTTGAAAGTGCCATATGACGCTTACTAAAACTTTATTTTAAAAAACAAAAAAAAACTATAACAAAATTTTTGGGGGTTATCTTTAAGTGTTTCTCATCTCCTCTTGTCTTCTGCAGGACCGAGGTAGTCTCGTAAGGTGGAGTCAAGGACAAGCACGGGGATTGTGTGTGTGTGTGGTTCCTCGGAGTGCGGGAAAGGCGGCAGAACTGAACGTTTGAGGGAGTAGATAGAGGCAGGGCAGGGACAGAGAGAGAGAGCACGATCGAAAGACACGATTGAACGAACGGCTGTCGCCTGGCGGAGGTCAAATACGCTCTGTAAGTACATGTGGATAATAATAATAATAATAATAATAATAATAATAATAATAATAATAATAATAATAATAATAATGATAATAATAAGAACCTTAAAAAAGGCCTACGTGTTTGCTGACTCTGACTTGTGTTTTTGTAAGGAAGTCGTTTTAGAAGTTTTAATAGGGTGCGATTTTTATTAATTAATTAATGGATTAAAACATTTAAAAAAAATTATTATTTTTCGGGGGGGGGGGGGGCACTGGTAGATCTGAATCCAAAGCTATCTGTCTTCTGTTTACCCCCCCTCCCCCCAAAAAAAGAAGAAAAAAAAGAAAAAAGAAGACTCGGGCAACAGTTTGAGTTGTTAGTCTACTTTAGCTTACTCAAGTTGGGAGGTTTCTGTCTCGAGTAGTATGATGTGTTCTGCTTCTACTTTTTTGTTTTAGTAGAGGTTTTACGGCGCTCGCAACAGCATAAAGTCATATGAGCGCCAAGGGGTGGGTGTCAACAGAGAAGTCCTTACAGGGAATCAGGCTAACTCTAGCTTCCACAGCACAAAGTCTGCTTCGACTTGTAAGGCACCCCGGAAATAGGGGGTCATCAGAATGTGACAAACATACAAAAGAAGTGGAGGCAAAATGACAATAGTAAGGATTAGGAAAGAAAAAGCAGCAGTTCCCTGTTGTAGTTCAGGCACAGCAATGAGCATGACATTGATGAATCAGCCCATTTACAATTACAATTCTACTGTGCATAAGAGCATGGTTAATGTCCCCCCTTTGGGAATGGCCTAAAGACACTTCAGTAAGTTGCACCGCCCCGGGGGGGGGGGGGGGGGGGGTGCTGAGCTCCCACTTCTTTCCAATGTGACTGCCCCCCCTCCTTTATCTGCTTATTGCAGAGTAGACAGAGTTGTGACTTCAGAAACTCTTCGTGTACTCTGGTGTGGTTTGCTCCTTCTGTCCCATCAAACATCTATCGTCCTTATCTCCACTCCTTCTTCTTTGTGTAAATGTTACTCTCTTGTAACACCTCTAATCTTCGGCACCTATATGACCGTATTGCGTTGCCAGTGCCGTAAAACTCTTACTAAAAAAGAAAAAAGAAAAGAAAAATCAAACGATTTCCTTACAAAAAGCTCAAGTCTGCATACTTACAGAGCTCCTTCTTTTTTGTGTAAATGTTACTCTCTTGTAACACCTCTAATCTTCGGCACCTATATGACCGTATTGCGTTGCCAGTGCCGTAAAACTCTTACTAAAAAAGAAAAAAGAAAAGAAAAATCAAACGATTTCCTTACAAAAAGCTCAAGTCTGCATACTTACAGAGCTCCTTCTTTTTTGTGTAAATGTTACTCTCTTGTAACACCTCTAATCTTCGGCACCTATATGACCGTATTGCGTTGCCAGTGCCGTAAAACTCTTACTAAAAAAGAAAAAAGAAAATAAAAATCAAACGATTTCCTTACAAAAAGTTCAAGTCTGCATACTTACAGAGCTCCTTCTTTTTTGTGTAAATGTTACTCTCTTGTAACACCTCTAATGTTCGGCACTTATAGGACGTTATTGTGTTGCGAGTGCCGTAAAACTCTTACTAAAACTAAAAATACTGTAGACCTTTCCTTTCCTAGAACATTTATTTACTGAACTCACTCTCTCTCTCTCTCTCTCTCTCTCTCTCTCTCTCTCTCTCTCTCTCTCTCTCTCTCTCTCTCTCTCTCTCTCTCTCTCTCTCTCCGGAAACTACATATCGCTGAAATTAAACCTATTCGACCAAAAAATGGAAAATTTATTATATTGGAATCACTTAAATTTTATGATGACTCAAAATCCATTATCGACTTTCCTCGAAATAAAAAAAAAAAGAGAGAGAGAGAGAGAGAGAGAGAGAGAGAGAGAGAGAGAGAGAGAGAGAGAGAGAGAGAGAGAAAATATGACAAGGGATAAAAGAAGAACCCCGACCTCCACCACCGCGTAACCTTTTTGGGGGGGATAGGACGTAAATTTTTCCGCGACCGCGTGCATCGCCTTCTTCTGTATGTGCGCCGTCGTTTCCCCTCGAAGTTTCCGTGTTCGCTCCTGGTTTCCACTATCTCCAGCTGCTGTTCTCTCTACTCTATGTGTGGCGTCTAGCGCCCGGTATTTTCCACAGTGTCCTCGGCCGCCGAGTGTACAGTACTGCCCTCCTGCTGTCTGTCACACTGCAGTATCGTGTGTCTGCTGGGCCGACTGGCTGGCCCTTCTTGCCAGTAGGTGGGTGGTTGGCGGGTGCTCTGGTGTGGTTTGCTCCTTCTTTCCTATCAAACATCTGTCTGTCGTCCTTATCTCTCCTCCTTCTTTTTTTGTGTATGCTACCCTCTTGTCACAGATAATCTATTCTTCGGCACTTGTATGACCGTGGCGTCGGTGGCCTAGTAGTTAGGCTACCGGACTCGTAATTGTGAGACTGCGGGTTCGGGGGTTCGAGCCTCAGCTCGGTCCGACGTTTTGTCCTTGGGAAAGGCACTTTACACGAACTTCTCACTTGGCTCGGTCCTATCGGGGACGGACGTTAAACTTGGAGGTCCCGCACCTTAAATAACCTAATAGTGTTGATAGGGGCGTTAAACCCATACCATTTTCACTTATATGACCTTATTGTGTTGCAAGTGCCGTAAAACTCTTACTAAAACTAAAACTAAACACCAACAACAAAAATACAAAAAATGAATAAAACAACAATACGCAACACCCCCCCCCCCTTCAAAACGACAACAACAGATGAATTGCTGTAAATAGCAAGAAAATCTTGAACGTTGAATAGCTTAGTTGAATTGGCACAGCTTTATTTAACTTGCCAATCCTGTAAATATTATAGAATCTACTTAGCTGTGTATATTGCTTGTGATTTCACAGTCCTGCAATTGTAATATTACAGAATCTACATAGCTGTATCTCGCTTGTGATTTCACAATCCTGTAATATTATATAATCTAGATCTACATGTTATATCTAGCTGTGTACATGTATATCGCTTGTAGTTTCACATGGGGCGCGCTGCACGTTTCTTCTGCTGTTATCATTGTGGACTGTGGTACGGGTGATGTCGGTTTACTGATAAACGTCTACAATGTTTTAAATGTACAAACATTAAGTGTTAGGTTGGCGGACGATCTTGTGTGGTATGCTCCTTCTTTCCTTTTAAATCTCTCTCTCTCTCTCTCTCTCTCTCTCTCTCTCTCTCTCTC